TGACAGTGTAAAGTATCTTGTTGTGTTATTTTATTTTATTTTATTTTATTTTATTTTATTTTATTTTATTTTTTTAATTTTTTTAACATTTTATTTATTTTTGAGACAGAGAGAGACAGAGCATGAACGGGGGAGGGTCAGAGAGAGGGAGACACAGAATCTGAAACAGGCTCCAGGCTCTGAGCTGTCAGCACAGAGCCCGACGCGGGGCTCGAACTCATGGACCGCGAGATCATGACCTGAGCCGACGTCGGCCGCTTAACCGACTGAGCCACCCAGGTGCCCCTTGTTGTGTTATTTTAATGCATTTCTCCTTCAATTCTACTTTTACTGATATCCAGAATGCTTCTCTTTTTTTGTTAGCATTTGTTTTTTATATCTCAATCCATTTGAGTAATTAAAAAAAAAAATTTTTTTTTTAGTTAATTGTAAATGGCTTACATTCGTTGACTCCAGTTTTTCCTTATAATGGGTGGGTCCAGAATTATCCCTAAATAAATTTTAGAAACAGAATGTGAGGTATGTGTGTAGACGCAATGTGTGGAGTGTCTTGGAAAAAGGGATTCTGGGAAAATGGTGATATGAAGACATTCCCTTCCTTTCTCTTAAACTTAACTGCTGGGGCAGACAACTGGTATCCATAAACATTCTAGGGGAGGGAACTGTATGGCATTATTTACCACTATGGGCTGGATGAGTGCATGGAGACAAACATCAGAGAGACAGAGTGTTAAGATGTCAAGTCCTAGGAGGAATTTTGTTTTCCTGAGTTTCTGGATTTCCTGGGGAATGTTAGCATCAGCAACGACCAGGGAAGTGCTTGTGGTCTCTCTGGTCCGCAGAAGACCAAGAAAGAGTTGTATGGGTGGGAAGAGTCCTCCCCAAACCTGAATCTGAGCAAGTATGAGGAATCTGGGTAACGTGGGCTTGTCATAGGCACACATAGCAATCAATATATGCCCTATCTGCCTCTGTACTCCTGACCTATGGGGAGAGAAGTCACTTTGCCTTTTATAATTTTTGAGAATGTTGTCACCTAAAGCACTCCAGCAACAGTTCTGAACCCTACTGAATACAAAAAGAAAAAGAAGAAAGAAAACCACCACCCATCTAAGGGAGTCTAGTTAACTGAAAGTTCAGTCAGATCAAATAGACCACAAAACTTTGCAACACAGATGGAAAGAACCCAATCTCTGAGGAGAAAATTGATGAGGACATTAATAGAGATGCAAATAAACAGTAGAAAGAGTTCATGGGCACCAACAAAATATATAAATGAGCCTAAGAGGAGAGTGACCACTTGTGGTAGAAAAATGGCCCCCAAAGATCCCCAGAACCTGTGAGAACCTCATATGTGATTAAGGATGTTGAGATGGGAAGATTATCCAAGTGGGCCCAATGTAATTACAAAGTTCCTTATAAGAGAGAGGCAAGAAGGTCAAAGCAGAAGAGGAGATAACATGATGGAAAGCAGAGGCTGAAATAATGTGCTTTGAGGATGGAAGAAGAAGCCATAAACCAAAGAATGCAGGTGGCATCCAGAAGCTGGAAAAGACAGGAAAAGTTTTCTCCTCTATCAGAAGGAACATAGCTAATACCGATTTTAGCCCTGTAAGATTCATTTCAGAGAACCAACCTTGAGAACTGTATGATAATTTTGTTATTTTAAGCCACTAACTTTGTGGTAGTTAGTTATAACAGCAGTAGGACCCCAGTGAATGTCTTAAATGAGACGAATGAATGGAAGACATATCTACAAATACATGAACAAAGAAGTAAAGAGTTGGAGAATTTGAGGGAAAAGATACAGATATTTGGAGGATAGATCCAAGAGACCTAATTAGTATTAGGTATTATGGAAGAAAAAAAGGAAGAGATGGAAAAGAGGCAATAATTAATTTCCCACAGATACAGAAAGACATAATACACAGATTTAAATGCACCCGAAGTATAGGCAAGATTGATAAGAAAAGAGAGACACATGGGCCTATCTTGGTGTGATTCCTGAACTCTGGTGTAGCAGTAGAACTATTGTTTCTTTTTGTACTTTCTGTTTGGTAAAAGGGAAATATCTTTGTTGTTGATTTTTCCTAATGTGAAAATTATATATTTCTAGTGCTAAAAAATCAGATAATATATTTAAAAAATAAAAATTGCTTGTAAGTTCATCATTGAGATATAACCACCATTAATACTTTTAACAGCTTGACTGAGGTATAACAAACATTAAAACACTGCACATATTTACAGTATAAAATTTGATAAATTTTCACACAAGTATTCATTTGTGAAACTATCACCACAACCAGGATAATGGATATATTCATGAATACCAAAAGTTTGCTCACACTTCTTTGTAAAATCTCTCCCTCCTGCTCCTATTTGCCTCCCACCTGCCCCATTCCCAGGCAACCACTGCTCTGTTTTCTAGCACTATAATTAGTTTTCTAAATTTTTATGTAAATGGAATCATACAGGATGTATTCTTTTTTTGTTGGGCTTCTTTCTCTTAACATAATTATTTTTAGTTTCAGCCGGGTTATTGCATGTCAATTAGAAGGGTGGAAATTTCAGTTCTACCGCCCACCTTCCCAGGTGGGGTGGGGGAGAGGGGATGGAGGTTGAATCAGCCAATGGCCAAAGACTTAGCCAATCATGACTATATGATGAAGCCTCCATAAAAATCCATGAGGACAGCTTTTTGGTCTTTTCTTTTAGAAGAGCTTCCGTGTCCTACCAAGCAGGGCCCCAAGCTCCACAAGGACAGAAAGAAGGTTCTTTGTTCAGGACCTTGTCCTATGTATTGCTTCATCTGGCTGTTGATTAGTATTCTTTATCTCATCCTTTAGTAAACTGGTAAATGTAGGTAAGTGGTTTCCTGAGTTCTGTGTGCTGCTTTAGCAAAGTAATTGAACCTAAGGAGGTTATTGGAACCCCTAATCTGTAGCCAGTCAGTCAGAAGCACGGGAAATAACCTGGGGCTGTGACTGGCATCTAGGTTGGGAGGGGGGAGCAGTCCTTAAGGACTGAACCCTTAACCTCTGGAATCTCCAAGTAGACAGTATCAGAATCGAAGTGAATTCTCAGACCCTGCTGGTGTCTGAGTACTGCTAGGTGTTGTGTTGGGGAGGACCTCCTCTCATGTTGGAACTGGGTCTAGGAGCCTCAAAAGAATTGATAAAACCTATGGGGCTCCTGGGTGGCCCAGTGGGTTGAGTGTCCGACTTCGGCTCAGGTCATGATCTTGTAGTTCGTGCGTTCGAGCCCCGCATCCGACTCTGTGCTGACAGCTCAGAGTCTGGGACCTGCTTTGGATTCTGTGTCTCCTTCTCTCTCTGCCCCTTCCCCGCTCATGCTCTGTCTCTCAAACATGAATAAATGTTAAAAAAAAATTTAAAAAAAAGAATTGATAAAACCTAAAATTAAAAGAATCACTTCTTATTTTATTACTGATAGACACATGAATTGTGTGGCTATCAAATGAGAATGTTTATCAAAATTCTCTTGCTAAGGGAATAGTTTAATGCCTGAAAATGACTTGTTCCACTTGAGAATACTGCTACTTATTATCATACTAGCAGCCTCCCAAAGAGGCCATTGCTATCTGTTTTTTACATAAAACACCCACTTCTGTTAAATATTTCTGTCTCTAATACCTATAAATGTTTTCGTGGAAAAGTTTTTTTAAAGATTTCCCTTTTCTTTTCTCATGGGTGTAAAATATTGTCTAACTAGCCCTGGCATTTCAGGGGTCAAGCAAAGGTGGGTAGAGGCAAAGTGTGTTGAAAATGCTTATTTATAACATTGAGGATGCCTGCTTGTTTTCTTGGGGTCCAAAAGTGCTAGTTACCACTCTGGATATGTGCACTTTCAATGATGTGACCAATGTGAATGAAAGGTAATAAAGGAGTCATATACCTCTTCCTCTTCTTCCTCTTCTTCTTCTAGCTCCTCCTCAACTTCAGCGTCGGCCTGATAGTCTTCTGTTTCTTCATCATAATCTTCCATAGTTAACTCCCATCCTGCATACTGGAAGGGTTCTGTAAAAAAAAAAAAAAAAAAAAAAAAAAAAAAAAAAGTAGTAACTTTTGGGAAGATATTTTTAGAATAAAAGGATATTAGCATAAAAAAGTAGTCAAATATTAGGAAATTTGATTATAATGACTGATCTTAGTTTAAATGTGTATGCAAACAGGACTTCACAAATTCTTTAAGTGACAACCGGCCAATTTGGCCAGTGCTTTGTGCCCCGGAACTGTTATGATTGGCAGGTGCCTGCAAGATGAGGTTGCTAAATATTTTAAATATCAACCTTGAATATGCTGAATGTTTTACTTCCCAAACCATCAAGAAAGACTTTAAACTTTCACGGTGCTTTTAATAATATTACCTGCTCTTGACAATAAATGTTATGATTGTGGCTCTTACTTTCCATAATCTCAACTACTTTTTGAAGTAGTTCCTCTGGTGTTTTGTCAGCAATCTCCAAGTTTAAAATTTGAACGAAAGACTCATGGATTGCTGGTTCCAGCTGTTTCCAGCCAAAGTTGAAATTTTTAACCTTCTCTTTAATTGGCTCCATTTCAGGAACATCAGGATAAGCATCTTCTGGAAACTCAGGGAGTACAACTTTTGAGTAAAGGTTAAAGGAAAGAAAAAAGAATCTTCAAATATTATATCTTTAGACATATTGCGAAAATAATTTATACTTTATAGTATTTTAAAAACATTTGAAAGAAATAAACTTAGTTTTCTAATTAATAATATTACACTCACAAATCATATTTTAATTATGCTTTGTTTTTTATAATGGCTTAAATGAATTATTATTAATAAAATCAAAATTATTTGGATAATTATTAATAATTTCATATAGCAACTTTAACTGTTAATGTATAAAATAAAATTTGATGAAAAACAGTACTATAAGTTGGCTACATATATTTTTAATGTAATAAGCTAAATTAATACATATCAACTGGTATACAACATAGAAAAAAATAAGTAGGAAATTGGTACTATGCCTAAAATAAGGGACTACGCCCTTTGTAAAAGAATTTGAAAAGTACTTTCACACAGTAAGTACTTTTATAATCTAACCTGTTTCCGACAATTCTTTAATTTCCAGGGCCTCTTTGGATCCTTTTGAAATGTCTGTTCCAACTGTAGTATCCTCCCCAGGCTCAGATACTTAAAAAATAAAGCTAATAGTTAGTGTTTGAATTTTAAAACACCATTCCTTTATGAAATTTTTGGCACAAAGAAAATTTCAAAACACAGTGTAATTGTGTATACTATGTCTAAGTGAAAATACAGTTCCTGTTAGGTAAAGTATGGCTTAAAATATTTAATAATATAGAGTGAAAAATGAAGAATATTTAAAAATATATAAAAGGACATTGACCAAAATAATATACACATGGCACATATAATTCTGAGTGATAACTGTTGTTAAATATTATTCAGACTTCTGTTCACATGGCATCAGACTAGGAGTTCCTGATATTTCTTTTAATTTCTTTTTTTTTTTAACATTTATTTATTTTTGAGACAGAGAGAGACAGAGCATGAACGGGGGAGGGTCAGAGAGAGGGAGACACAGAATCTGAAACAGGCTCCAGGCTCTGAGCTGTCAGCATAGAGCTCGACGCGGGGCTTGAACTCACGGACTGCGAAATCATGACCTGAGCCGAAGTCGGCCGCTTAACCAACTGAGCCACCCAGGTGCCCCTCTTTTAATTTCTTAATCCACCCATGAAAATATACCAAAAAATCATAAAGTGACAATGAAAGACAATGATATATCAAAGTCCCAGCTGTGTGTGTATTGAAGATATAGATAGAACACTATTTTTCTGGATGTTATAAGACGTGCATCACATACAGATCCAGCAGAGATGGTTCAAGGAAGGAAGAACTAGTTGTCTATCTTCTCACTTTATAGTCTCTCCTAGTTCTGAAACAGAAATTTTGTGTAGACCAAATATATAACATATTTATGTAATATTCTCTATATAGCTCCATTCTGTAACACTGGAAACTGTTTTCCAAGCTAAAGTAACAGTTGGGTCCTCTTTCTACAGAATTCTATAATTAATACCCAAGGGAGGGGCCCCTGGGTGGCCCAGTGGGTTAAGCATCCGACTTGGGCTCAGGTCATGATCTCATGGTTTGTGGGTTTGAGCCCCGCGTCAGGCTCTGTGCTGACAGTTCAGAGCCTGGAGTCTGCTTCAGATTCTGTGTCTCCCTGTGTCTCTCTGCCCCTCCTCCCACTCATGTTCTGTCTCTCTCTGTCTCTCAAAAATAAATAAACATTTAAAAAAATAGTCAAGGGAGTAGGATATAGAAGAGGACAAACCTAGGGCTGGTCTGGTGGTGATATGTTTAATTTTAATGTGCTCACTTATCTAAAGAAAAGCATTATAAATCATGATGAAGATAAGAAGAACACCAAGAATATACAGGGACTTCTAAACTGTCTTAGCTTCTCTGGCTAATTACGGAATGAAATAGTCAGAGATGACGAAGATCCAGCGCAGTATAGGAGAGACAGATAAGATGAATATTTACTAAATATCACCACTTGAACTAGGCCAATGCACATTAACTTTACCTTCAGGTCTATATCTGAGAGTACCAGGCAAAACATTAAAGCAAAATGTGTGTGTGTGTGTGTGTGTGTGTGTGTGTGTGTG